CGAAGTTCATTCTCGTACCGATGTATACAACATACTGACACTTGAGACGCCATAACTTCGTTTCCACTGAACCAAATGTCATGAAATTTTTACTGGAAGTCAGCTAGGGATGTACCTTTCAAACGCGCAATCGAACACACGGATGGCGCCACCCGACCTATCCCTATTGAAAATTTTGGGACGCACCTTATATTATTAAATTAATGATTTTATATTATATAATATAAATATTCTATAAATAAATATACATACTATACTTATAATGCTAAGGTATATTTTATATACTTTCAAAAAATTACAATTTTCTTCACTACAATTTACATTTTTATCGATCAAACTTTGACGATAACATAAAAATCATAGTTCTAAATCTATTTTGACACTAGCGTCTCTACACATGCATATGGCACTACATAATTATTTCATGTATTTTTATTATCCAGTATCAATTTTGATACATCCTACTTTAACGCTGTTAAGGGGATCCTAAAATGAAACCCGAATTCCGATGAGATAGCTGTTTTACCGATAAAATGCGACACGTCGATATATTTTTAAATATTATATATAGAAGAAAACCCCCTATTTTATGAAATAGGCGCCTAATATTAGCGATGTTTCTGCCAAACTAATTACGCTATATCTATCTTCTCCTTTATTTTTTTTTTAATAATCACAATGATAATTTTTTTCGGGACTAACTTTTTTATTATTGTTTTCTGATTAAACACTTTTCAGGAAAATATTATCCTTTTAATAAACATATGTAGCGCAAATGAACATGGACGTATATTATAGGTCTTTTAATACACATACCTTAAATTGCTATTATATCTATAATATTATGTTAATCGTATATATGTATTTGTTCTGTGCTTAATTTTAGGAGCAATCTAATAGAAAAGAATATTGAATGCATGTGTAATTTGAAAATCTCTGTTTTCCACAGAAAATTTAGATCATCAATTTCGGCAAATTATTTATTCTTATCAATAACAACGGCATATCCAGCGTATTCTGATTATTGCTATTGATTAAAATATCTGACAACAGAATAGTTCATTAATTTCAAATTTTGATTAAGTATCTTAATCTTTCATTGAGTAATAAAAAATAAATATATAAAATTTTGATGGACAATTTATCATGCATCTTACGTTTATTAATTCAAAATCGACATACATCAAAGCCAATTCACATACAGAAAAAAATACATTTTTTTTTTACAAATTTATAAATGTGATTTTATTTCTCTTTTATCTAAATATTAATAAATGTTAATATTCTGCTGCCATTTTATTCAAAATATAAATAAACACATTATAAAATTAAATAATCCATAATTTCTACAGGAATTTCTATAGTAATAATACATAATTTCCATAGAAATTTAAACTATGCATTCCCTGTTGTTCATTAATGCTCCGAATATGTATAAAAATAATAGTTTAATAATTTATTGTGTTAAGAAGTAAGAAAGAAAATTCTGTAGGATAAACGATGTCATGATGGACAGTATTTTTTATCCTAAAATAATAATATGTAATATAATACGTTTAACAAGCACAATTATTTTCAAAAAGAAACGCATCAAATTACTTATAATTCTGAAGAACAAAAATAATAATTAATACACGAATATAAAAGAGTGCCAATAAAACAAGAATATTAATAAAAAACACGTAGATGTTACACGTAGATATACAGGGTATCTGTAAAATCGTCCGCAATGCTTCGGGAAGTAATTCGGGACTCAAAAGAAGGAACAAGATCTATATAAACATAGGTCCGGAAATAGATCGTTTCCAAATTATAACTACATTTATGTTAAAAAAAAATTGTAATTGGTTTTTTATAATTACAATAATAACTTATTATATTACTTATTTACTTTTTTATAATGATAATAATAACTTATTTCATACTATTTTTTAACTACGTTTTGGAATATTTTGGAAGCATAGTCTGCTAGATATCCCCCTAGTAAAATAAAAAATTTTTTTAATAAAAAAGATTAAAAAAGAGGGATGTCTAGCGAAGTATGTCTCCACGTAGTGCATTTTTGGTAACGTCAAAATAATCTGAAATGTAGTTATTTATGTTAAAACCCTATGAAATAAATTATGAGTATAAAAAATAAAATACTATTTTTTCTTAAAATAAAAATAGTTATAATTCGAAAGCGACTGACTTCCGAATCGATCTTTATATACATTTGTCTTTCTTCTGAAGTCCCGAATCCCTTCTTAGTATTGCGGGCGATTTCCGGACACTGTATAACTTTATATATGCATTATAATGTATGCATACCTAAACTGCGTTATTAGATTATTCGAAATGAACCATACATTTCTAATTGTATCAGTTTTGTTTTCGAAGAATACGATTAATAACTGCAGACATAATTATTACTCGATAAAAGTTATTTTTTAGTTTAATGATTCTATTTATCTTTTATTTGGACACATTATATTTATACTTTAATTATTAATATTGTTAAACATAATAATATATTTGACGCGTTTATATTTACATTCTAAATTTTTTTTAATTACCATATATAGATCGCATGTCATTTTTCGAGAAAAAAGCATCCAATTTACACTCTTTGCAATACATACATTATTTAATCTTTCAAATGTAATAATGTGTAATAATATTATATAAATCATTATATAATATTATATAAATCATATGTATATTTAAATAATTTTTTAACAGTTCGAAATAGTTGTTAATAAAATTTTTGATAAAATACGATTTATGTAAAATAATATAGATTATTATATTTACAAGACAATTATTATTTAATTTGTATGATCCTATTACGATAAACGTTCAGAATTATATGTTTTACTCTTTGATTTTCCAGCCAAATATGGATGCTACTTGTCTGCGTAATGCTTTCATAGTCAAATGAGAATCCGCCACAGTGACATTTAATTTGAATCTATAAAAATGTAAATATGTAAAATGAGTACCTTAGCACAATTGATTTTGTCAAAAGTTTGTTTATAACAATAATTTAAATCGTATTTTGAAAACTGAAATCTAGTTTAGATTGGGAAATTGTTCATCTCCCGGCACTACTACAATGTTTCAATGCGTACAGTGCCATATTCTGCAATTTTAATGGAACAACACTTCTCCTAGTCATAATACGGGTTAAATTAATTTAAATATTCCTCTATCATCATGTATCTTTTTCTGTATGACAGAATCTGAAAACCAAAAAAATTTCAATGAAAAAGATTTTTATTTTTTACATTTCTGGCTTACGAAAAAAAGTTATAATACATAACCGATACTTTTGATAAAATGAAAAATTGACCTCTTCCTAAACTCATTTGAAAAGGTTATTTCAAAAAATATTTCATTTTAAAGATTAGTAAATTTGAACTATTAAAACAGATGGCTTAATATCCTTTGTACAAAGATGCCTAGTATCAGCGGCGGTTTTGAATTCTTTTCGAATTCAATATGATCTATAACATTTGTAATTTTCATTTGATAAGTTATTACAAAAAATTGCAACACAACAAAAGATATTCTGTATAATTTCCTGTATAATTTTATTCGTTTAACCAGTTTTATGTGATCAAGAGAAATTATATTTATTACAAATTGTACAATATGCAAAATTTATCTTTATGTGATATAAACGAAGAGAGTAAGTACCAGAATCAAATCTTATTTGTTTTGATGGTGATTCCACAGTCAAAGGACTTTGCGTTTCGCCGGAGACTGGTATATCCCCACCGTTACTGCTTTGTCTAGGCATGTTTTCCACAGTTGAAGAACTTTGCGTCGTAGTACTTCGTAGTATTTCGCTAGACTCTTGTGCCTCGGGTACACTATCGCCACTCGATCTACTTTGTTCAAGCCTGTATTCCACAGTCGAAGAACTTTGCATAGCAGTGCTTCGTATTTCGCTTGTTGCAGCCGCGGTTACAGGATCGTAAGGTTCTCAATAATATTAGACACTTCTTCTTATTTTACACGAACACTTTATTACAGAACATTGAGAGCACACAGCTCGGATTAAACGTAGTAACAATGGCAGTAAAAGAGTCGAACGGCTATAAAAGGCGGGAAAAAATATAATGGCGGACACTCTCTCTGCCCGCGATCCGATCTCGTCTTCTTCCGTTCACACGCGGCTACTTCCGGCATCTTCCTTAAAGTCACTCCTCGGCCGCTAACAA